TAAAGTATGTAGACAACTTACCGAAACTCATGTATCAATATAATCACACGTATCATAGAAGTATTCACATGACTCCCGCCAAAGTTACTATGTTCAATCCCAAAGAAGTTTGGGACAATTTGTATGGCAAGTATGTGAATCTCAAGAAAAAACCTCCTGCCTTCAAAGTGGGGGATAAAGCGAGATTGAATAATAAATTTAGACCTTTCAAAAAAGGATACTTACCCAGTTGGACTGAAGAAGTGTTTGTGGTACGCAAAGTCTTACCGGGTATGACCACCACCTATAAAGTGCAAGAACTCGACGACACACCTTTGCAGGTTACGTTTTACGCCTGGGATTTACAAAAAGTACAATTGGACGAATCCTCGTATTTTAGAGTCTTGAAACGACAAAAAGATAAATTGTAAGTCAAGTGGAAAGGATATCCTGCTAAATATAACAGTTGGATTCATAAAAAAGATTTAAAGTCACGTGTGTACTCGTACTTGACACATCATCATGAGAGGAGTTAGTTTAAAACGTTTCAAAGTGTATACTCCAGCAAGTGGGGGTCCGAATCAAACGGGAGGTGGTATTTTTCGTTGGAGTGCGCCACCCCCGTTCTACAGACCAGGTGTACCAGGCGACATTCCACCACAACTAGGAGGTGGTATGAGACAAGATTTTTTTTAAGGAAGTGAAGAAAGGATTTAAAAGTGGATTGAAGAAGCGATCCCTGTCAGAAAAGGGACGTGGAGCGAAGAGGGGTGCTTCTTCAGCACTCAAGAACGAAGTGAAACGAAAAATCAGGAGAAAGTTGAACGATATCTTTGGAGCCTAAAAAATGACTCGTATCAGTACCGCATGTAGTAGTGCCCCTATCACTGGGGTGGGCACAGGATATTCGAATGATCCTGTGACTCCTATTTTAAAAAAGTATAAAGGAAGACAAAGGTATCATCGTCAGCAAGGCGGTGGGTTTCTGAGGAAGAGAAGACCATTTAAGAACCGTTCTACTCGCAGAAGCACTCATAAACGATGGAGACGTTGAAGTAAACACATCATCTGTAGCGAGATGGCCGCGAAAACAAGCCGCTATCAATCCTAATCTCAACCTATTCACGATTCCACCTACGGATCCTTCCACTGCCAGTTACAGGTACGTCAAAGTACCACCTCAGACAGCGAGTATTACTCCGATTCACGTTTACATAGAAAGACAATCGGACTACATTGATCTGAAGCGGAGTTTTGTGGAATTGAATTTGGGATTCAAGACGACGGGAAATGTCAATCTCACTTCACGCAATGACACTGTGAATCGCATGACAACTCCAGCCAATAACCTGGCGCAAACACTCTTCAAACAAGTCAATTTCCGAGCTAATGGCACCCTTCTCACAGGACAAGAGGACATGTACCATCTCAAAGCCTACATACAGACGGTGTTGAATTAGGACAGAGATGATGGAGAGACCATCCTTCAACCCACAGGTTGGAGGAATGAAATCGATTCGCCCGTGACGATCG